AGCTGGGCTTAGATTTTCAAAAAAAGTACAGTTTGTGTTCAGACACCTAAATAAAGACTGGATTTTCAAAATACAGAATGCCTATCCCTCAGCTCATGGCACTCCTGGCATGATTTTTCAAAATACCTCCATACCCAGCAGATTCTAGAAAAAGCATGTTTATTTTGGTGCTAAAATGTGGACTGATCACTGATCTCTGTTTAAAAATCAAGAATTGTTTTTTGTTGCTAAGCACTTAAAAATGACAATGAAAACAAGTTAATCTCTCCTATTTCTATGAGAAGCATACATGCTTGCAAGCTGTTTAAATTGAGGTCCCCAGTCTCCAAGGAATTCATAATTCTGATCCATATCTGATGTGTTTGAGCCTAAAGAGCTGAGGGATCCTGCCAAAGAACCAGTCCCTTCAAAGGCATATGTCTGAAGCGAGTCATATGGAGGAGCACTGGGATCCATATTAGCTTCTTCAAGCTTTTCTGAAATGAATTGCCTGAACACTGCACTGTCAGGGCCAACTTGCAGAGACTGTCTGTAGAGGCTATGGATCTCTGTGGTGATGTTCTTCCGAGCTTTTTGTGTCCTCATAACGGTGTGGGTCCTCATAACAGTGTGAGTCCTCAGCGCTGAAATATCAAAAGCTTCTGTGTCCTCCTCTCCACCTCCCTCATCATCATACCGAACGATGTTCTCTCTGAACTCTTCTATCTTCTCCGAAAACGGAGACTTCTGCCGCTGCCTTCTTATGGCCACAACCGCCAAAATGAAAACTAGACAGAAAGCAAAAACACAAAGGAAAAGATAAGAAGAACCAGCAACTTTGAACGTGCTTGGAAACACCTAAAAAGTCACAATATGCCTTAATATCGCTGTTACTGCAAAGCGAAGCTATCCTCACAGATTTATAGAGCTGTAATCTTTATGGATTTTATGGTTTTGAAATGAACATTGTATATGGTGATAAAATGGTTACAGAGGGACTTATAAAAGGGGTGAATGACATGGAGCTATTCTTTGGCTAAATGAGAGTTTGAAGCAGTGATAGGAACACAAGCTACACTTTTTGAAACTGTTTTACTTCATCATCTGATATATCAATTCCACATTCAAATTTAATTTCTTTCTCTCTCTCTCTCCCTCCCCCTCTCTCCCTCTTAGATCAAAGCCTCAGGAAGGGCGGATGAAAAATGAAAGGCAGTGGATGAAATCTTCTCAACTGATAGGAAATAATTCTGTTACAGAGTATTTAGGGTCTGATTCAATTATTTCTTACATTACATCTCTTTGGATGTTTGAAGACTCCCTAAAGTTTGAGATCTGTGGCTAAGAGCAGCTTCTTCCTTTTATGTTTAAGCTCTTAGACTTATTTTCATTCTTTTTCTTTTCTATTTAGAAGTATTATTCTTTTTCTTTTTTATTTACTCACTTCACTCTGAGTGATCTGTTTCAAGTACTCAATGACATTCAGAGACATGGATGACTTCAGTTTTTAGATAAATTTAATTGCAGTTCTGTTAATAAATACATAGATTTTGTACTGCAATTCTCTATTCAGGATGTAACACGACAAAACTGCCACAGGATTTTACCTCACTTCTACGGATAAGATGTTGTGTGAGTGGGAGATATTAACACCAAATTTGACAACACTGGAAAAATGAATTTCTACAACACTATTTCACAATTATGAAAGAGAAATAGGAGCTTCAGTTCTCCTAAACCTCTGCATGATAAACTCTTCTAATAATGTTTGATGATGCTGACTAAAAGGTTGTGGAGTAAGAGGAAAACTCTTTGTATTCTAAATGTGAAAAAAAAAACCCTAATTTTAAATAACCGACAAAATTCTTTGTGATATACATTTGAATGTATATGTCTGTAAGGAGTGTGTTAGATAAATAAAAACAGAAAGAAACCAATAAGTGTGTGCATTTGTGTTTCTGCTTTGACTTTTGTGGTATACATTGGCCCAACAAGCACCAAGGGTTAATTCCTTCCAGAAAAAGCTTCTCTCTGCAAGTAGATGAAAAGCCCTTGATGAACATTTCCATTAATAACCTGGACCGTGCAACGACAGGACCTCATCTTCACTCCTTTAAGTCCCTAACGAGACCGTGCCCAGATATACCACCAAAAGCCAAGAAAACACTGATATGAGTACTAGTTGGCCTTTAAACACACACCGACTTGAAAGTCTAATGCAGTAACACCAGTCAGAATTGCCTGAAGTTTGCTTGGGACAAGGAAAATGTGGGTTCAATAAGGTGTCTCTGTAACTGTAGGTGAGGCTAAAAACAGAAAATCTCAGTTTTCAGAATAATCTCTTATTCTGTCTTGGAAACCAAGAGTTGGTAGTAGGGGAATGTTTTTTTTCCTGGACTTTGATATGGAGTCAGCATATGACTAGAGTCTGCCCAGGATAATTGTCATCTAAACATAATAATGAGCTACTCTTTTATTGTTTTAATCCTTGTTCTAACTATTCAGAGAGTTCTCAGGGTTTAACAAAAAACATTCTGATTTTTTTTGTAGGCCATATTATTTCTGCAGTTTCCTGCATGTTACAAAATCACGAAGGACCAAGGTCATATCAATTAACTGATTCACAGTTAACTCAAATCCATTTGTGGGGCTGAACTGTAGGGTTTCATTCTAGAAAAAAATTCAATGAGTTCTCACAAAAAGATTCAGTCATGAGGCCAAAGACCTTTATTGCTTACACTATGGAAATTAAAACCATAAGGTTGCAGACAGAATGAGGAATATGGATGATCTTTAATATGTTTAACTTCCATTTTCATTGGTACAAAGTCAAAATAATTCCATTAAACTTCTTGGACTTGTCTTCCTTTTCGCATTGCTACAATGACAGATCAAAATTTAGCATCAGAATAATCAGAATACAGCTGCCAGCCCACATTTCCAAGCCTCAGAGCTTCCCTGTGGTTAGTAATGTTATACTTAGTGTTGTATGCTGTTATTTATAGACTAGTAGAGGTCATACTGTATAATAAGGGTAGATAAAGAATGTTCTTTACCTGAATATCCTACAAGGAAAAAAGTAGGATTTATTTAAAACTGCTTTGTAATTCTTTCAATGATATAGAAGTTTAAAAAGTATTACTAATTTTATTTGTTCACATTAAGAAAAACATTGGGAGAATAATTACCCATTAAAGTTTTGTTTCTTAAGGCAGTGCAATTTCTGTTTCTATTACTTCTTTCTTTCTTGGCATTACTTTGTGTAAGTATTACATTACAGTCTTTTTGCTTGTTTTGTTTCAACAGAATTCTAAAAGTAGGTTAGTATAAAAAGAAAAATGTTTTATAAAACTCTAAAAGTAATATAAAAATACAAATTATGCCAGATCTTCTGTTTATAACGATAATTTGATATCATGCCATTTTAAATTAGTGAAATCCTGATTCTATCTATTTTCGGAACTCGGAGTTGTTTGTTTGGAAATTTTCATTTCCAGAGGAAAAATTTGTTTCCGTATTGTGATCCATCACTTGTGATATTTTTGGATATGACATTTTATGACGTACTATTGTATGGAATAATATGGATATGCTGTATTACTGGAGAAGGAACAAGGAGAGGAGTTTGGCCTGGAGGCCAGCCTCAAGAAAGAAACAGTAAAAGTCCTCAAAGACCAGCATCTAAATTCTGTCACTTGGCTGGAACACAGATCTAGTCTACTAAATGCTTCACTCCCTTTCATTCTTGGCCCCAGAAATTAGCATACCTTAATCTTCCTAACTAACTCAGATAGGCACAGAGTTTGAGAATGGTTGTTTAACCCTCGGGGCATGATTAGAAGTGCAATATGCCAACTGCTATAATGTTCCCATATCACTACATAATTTGGTGTTTGGGGAATAGAGAAAAGAAACTCATCATAGCAGGGTCTGGGGCACACTTCGTTGAGAAGAAGACTGTTTCCTTGCTGTCACTCCACTATGGGTTATGGCAGTCACAGCCCTGTGCAGGACAGGAAGTCTGGGCCTGTGGGATTGGTTTTGGGGGTGGCAGCTTACCAGGTATGAGTGACAATGTCCTCTCTGCAAAGGTACAAGCAGACCTCACAAGCCATTCTTAATTATTTAGATAACACTCGAATTCATGTCTCACATTCAGGACTTCCTTGGTATATTGAAGGCTAATTTAGAGTCTCCTGAGAGGAAAAAGTTGATGCCCAGCTCTTGGAGAAATGAGTGCCTGGAGATGCTACGTTATTAACAGAGAGGGCAACTCTGTTTATGTCTGAAGCTAATATTGCTTCTTCCAGATAGTATCAGAGTGTTTTTTTTTTCCATTATTATTATATTGCTCTGTGTTTTAATACTTGCTCCACATTTGCTCCACTTGCTCCTACCCATACCTAAGGTAAAATGAATAGAGTTCTGCTCATATTAATCTAATTCTAATACAGCCTTTGGCTTTCCAAATCTTTGTTATTATTACTGCTAGAAAAATAAGTAGGAGCATTACTCAACTAAAGCCAACTTTTAAGGCTTTTTTTTTAAAAAAATACTTTGACTTTATAGTCAAGAAAACAGAAGAGAAATGAAAGATTTGCCCTATTGGATTTTTCTCTGTAGGACACTACCTCCATTCTTTCACGCTAGGGAATATCTATGGCACATAATCAAATCTACTGTAAAAGGAAGCAAAGTTATTTCACTTACTAGTACTTACCTAGGAGAATTAGTATGCAAGCCAAAACAGCAACTAAAGCTTCTGTACTCAGACCCAAGGAATACAGGAAAGTTCCGTATCGACAAAAGAAGATGTTAACTTCAATGTCACAGTCACAGACAGTGATAGTGAGAGTGTTTGTGCTTGTAAGTGGTGGGGTTCCATTATCCAGAATTAAGATGGGCAAGTAGAAAAAAAGCTGCTCCTGTCTACTGAAGCCATTTTTTGCTGTGAAAATTCCAGCAGTGTTATCTAGAAGATAAATTACATGCATGATATATATTTATCACTTTTTAACAATGGCAATAAAATCCAGGAGCAGTTGACCAAGCTGTTTAAAAACTTTGGTACAGTACAAACCTGCACATTAGAAAAGGCAAGAGAGTTAAACCATGTGCCGATAAGTGTTATTTGGGTGCCATTCCCAAATAATTGCATGTGTTTGGACAGATATGTTTTAGGGGCAACAGGAGATCTCTTTTTAATATGCACAGATAAGAAAGAAAAGTACTTATCTAGGATCTAACATTCACTCAGTGTAGGTTCTTAAAATACTTCCAAGTAACCCCGCTGTTACCAGTTCTGCAGTTCACAGATCAACAACAGACATTTTTATCAATCTAAAGGCCCCAAAAGTGTGTCAGATAGCACAGAGAGAAGGCAGGTGGCAAGAGAAAGGAGAGAAAGCAAGAAAAATCTGCCCTAAAATAGTCATTTGCTCATTGCCTGATTTACAACTGGAGCTAACTGAGCTCATACTACTTAAACTGCTTAAAAAAGCTGTTAGAGACTCTTGCCTTGCTTTCTATTTAATTGATAGTGTTCAGAAATCAGCTCTGTATGAAATCTAATAAGCAAATTCAATTTCTGTTACATATCAGCTAATTCAAATTTGAAATTTTGAAGAAGGAACTTGAATAAGAAAACACATATGAAAGATATGAAAGAAGAAAGAATAATAAAACATAAATATATGTTATGATTTTTAATCATGTCATGGGGAATTATTTCATGTATGCACATAAAAAAACCCCCAACTCTACAGTTATCTATAGCTCATATTTATCCAAACAGTCTGTCAAAGTTAACTCCCTTACATTTAAGTCCATACGGATTTCTTAGTTATAGTTTAGAGGATAATTCTGAGTTAAAATCCTGCAGATATGTATACTCACTTTTGCTTTTGTGTTAAGATACTTCCATTTCACCCATCTATTTCTGTGAATTGTATCAGAAAGGGAGAGATTGGTGTCTAATCATACTATGTTTGAAAATACAATTTCCCTATCAATAGCCATCAAAAGGAATTGGACCTTGTGTGTAGCTCTGCTTGGAGCTTATGCAGAATACGAAAGAAACTGGAGAACGAAACTGTATTGTTAGAACTTAGCCTTAATGGAGCAAGTTTTCTCCTGGCAGTGAGAAAGAGAGGTTAATGAAGCTGGGAAATGAAAGACACACTAAAGCGTTGACTTTAATTTGCTGATATTGAGAAAGGTAGTTTGCCATTTAACATAGTCTGAACTTTCTAAAACTTTTTTTCTCATTGATTTATTCACCTAGTCTGAACATTCAAATAATTAACAAAGTCAATAAGAACAATGTATACTTTAGCTGAGTCTGGAAAATTCCTTCTTCATAGTCTCAGCAGGCTGATTTTAAGTGATCTTCTTTCCTGAAATTCCGTCACTTCAGATTGGTTCGGTTGTTATCACTCTTTTAGCATTTTCCTTAAGATTCTCAATCAATCCAGATCCAAAAGCATTAAAATGTATAGAAGATATATAGAAGATATATGATGTCATCAGTATTCAGGATACATGATTTAAACTGTGTTAGGAAATAAGATTATTTTCTTATGTATTTATGTATTTTAGACAGACAGACAGAGGTGGTATAAAACAAAAACTCAGCCTTCCAGCCTCTTTAGTATTACAGAATTATAAAATGCATAATGTGTTCATACCTTATACCTGTATTTTCTATGCTATTTTTTTAGGACCATTAGAAATATGACTCCCATTAGGATGGTCTTAAAGAGCTTATGAGTGACAGTACCTTGATTATCTTTGACAGTAAAATGTGAGATGTTTGTTGCCTCCTGAGCCAAGGAGAAGAAAAAGTGGTGACCTTCTACTGAATCATCTTTATCCACTGCACTGATGTTTTGAATTAGCTGGAAATATAGAAAAATAGAATTATTTAAGAATAAAAATATTTACTCATTCTTTAAAACAATAAAAAGGCATGTTGTATTATAATAAACTCTTGAGGCTGGAGATGGGATCTATGAATATATATATCATAAATATATACCTGTCATACCCAAACAAATGTAATTGTGGTGTTCTAATACATATTAAATTGTTCTGCATATGTTGCTTTGATTTTTCATTTGTTTAAGAGAGGTAGGCATTAAAACTTTGAGAAAATATGAAAGATTTGCTGGATCAAAAGGCAAAGATAAAGTTTCCACAGAATACGTATATGTATACAGATATGTATACATATAGATATAGATATACACACATAGAATTTTGAATTTTTTTCCCAAGGTGAAAGTTTATCATTCTACAATTGAATAAATCCCTCTAAACCAAATCTGTTTCCATGAGGCACACAGGACACACTGACATCATTCAGCTTCCATATTGCAGCTGCAGTAAGTGAGATATTGTGACAAGCTCATGTGTTGAATTGTTGATTCTGGAAATTATAACAGATTGATTATGGAATTGCTTGGTAGTTTGTTGCTTTTTTTTTTTTTTTTTTCTCCCAGGAAAACAAAATAGCTTTCTCTTACAAATCTGCCAAAACAGATTGCCATCTGCAAAATGAAAATCAAAATTAATATTTTAGCATTAAAAAGAATATCTTTCATCTTTGTAAAAAACCAACCACATTCTAGGTAATATAATTAGTAATATTTCTGGATGCAAAAATCTACTATTTGTCACTTTTATCAGTGAATATTCACTGACTCAAGCCTTATAGCATATAATAGTCAGAGAAGATCTTTACCAATAGGAGGAAATGACTCTGATGCAAGCCCATCAAAATTCAGAAATGATAACATCCATTTTACACTCAAGCTCTTTTTTGTCATTCACCTCATGCTTTGTAGGTATTGTACCCAGGAGATTTCAAGTACTCCTTTGTACCCAGGAGATTTCAAGTCTCAACTCTCCTCAAACAGAAAACATCTGAATCCTACAAGGGCTACTTTAGAAGCAAGAACAGCAGTAAGTCAGCAGAAGCACAGCCTTCAACCTGTGCCTTTAAAAACTCTTTTCGAATTAAACCATTTTTCAGTCAAAAATCCAAGATTTCAACACACATTCTTTTCAGATAAGTTGAGTTTGATGAAATCGTCACAGGAAAGTTCAAAACATGGCACATACCATAGAACCATTGTGTTCCTAGCACCTTGTCTCCTTTTTATGCATGAAATTTATTTGAAGTCAATATTTTGACCCTATAGGAAAATGAAGAACTAAGAACTACTCACTAAGAAGCTGATTGGTTGCTCAGTGATGTACCTGGTAGCAGTGTACAAAGAACAAATCTTAGAAAAGTTTTGCTTTTCCTCAGAGCAAAAAGTTAAATAGAAAAGGTGATCAGGCACAAGGATGAAGAAATCAGTCTAGAGTAATAACTGATCCCTAGTAATGGATCTACTCTTGACAATAAATCCTTGCTTTTATGTTTCATTTTTTAATGGAATATAATACTTAGAATATGTTATACACCAACAGCAATAGAAACTGAAATTCTATACGTCCAATCTAAAACAAGGATATTTTCCTAATATTATTCTGCTCTACACCTCAACAAATTAAAGGTCTCTTCTGTTTTTTGCTGAGGATTTGCTAGTGACTTCATGTTTACTGCTGAGAAAAATCTTTGTATGGATGTATGTTTGCCCCTACAGTTCAGGGTCAATGAAACTACACTCAATATACAAGTTAATGCATCAATACTGCACAGTAATACCTGTCTTAGATGTCTTAGTCACATCTAATATCCTCTTATTCTTAGTTTGGCTTCTTAAGTAGGGAAGAACACCCCATGATAATGAGATACCTGAGCTCTGCAATGATAATGAGATATCTGAGTTGACTTATTCAGAGCTTGGTCATATACTCTCACTTAGCAGGCTGGTTCTTCTATAGTCCTAGAATTTTCTCAAGCTCAAAACCTAGTTTCTTTTCTCTCTCTCTCTCTTTTTTTTATGATTTCAGTGATGCCTTTTTCTGTGTGAAAAGCAATGTGAATTTCAAGCAAATTTCTTTGAGTGGAAAAAAGGCTTGAAGATACTGTTTCAATTTTTTTGAAGTTGTCCATCACTTGCAATTGTTAAGAGCAATTTAACACAACTCTCATAGATACTGGATTAACAAATCATACAGCCATTTTCCCCCAGTTTGTGTAAGAATGTAGCTTATTAAGACCCTAATTCTGAGATGAGAATCATAAAACTTCTAAATTTCTTTACTTATCATAATTTAAAAAAAAAAAGCATTAACTGTAGGTGATATTTTTATACTCCCATTTTTCCTTCTGATTAATAGTTATTTAAATAGGTATTAGGTATAACTTTAGAAATTATATTTTTAGGAGTCAATCATTTCCCCCCATTAATTTTAGCTATGTCTGATTCAAATCAATATAATTCTGAGGAACACATGCCTAACCTGAAGAAAACTTCCATCGTTATGATCTGTCCTGTACTATTCTACGCAAACTTTAGACTCCTTATGGCTTTCTAAGCATATATGTAAATGATCCAAGGCAACTTCTTAATGTTTATTTCTTACTATATTCTCCTAAGATTCAGCAAAACTGAGTCTATAAAATATTCAGAGAGCAATAGGCTGCTCTGATTTTGCTGAGCCCACAGGAAAAAAAATAGCCCAGAAAGAAGAATATTTTTTGCAGGTTTCCTAGACTTTGGAGCTAGGAAATCTAGTCTAGGAACTAGGAAATTCTAGTCCTATATATTTTCTATTTTCTATATATTTCTTATCTCTAATGTTTAGTGCACACTCAATACAACGAATATAATAAAAACTATTAAGCAAGCTACAACATCAAAGTCAGTTCATATGTGATTCTCAAAGAAATTCAGAATTGCCAAAATATTCATTAAAGAAGGCTGTACTAATTCAAAATGTAGATGTTTCAGTCCATCTTTTTCAGCCAAAACATATTTCTTGTATGACATGAAAAAAGACTACAAGGGAGCTGAAAATGCCATACATACAACTGGATACAGTCTGGATGCTCAGCTTGCTTACATGTGGCTCAGACATTTGATGCATCTTACTTATTTTAAACTCTCAAACTACAGCTTCAAGTTGAGTTGATATATTAATGCTTTGGGAATAAAGCTTACTGGGTCAAATCTTTTCCTTCTGGTTGTGTATAGTATTACTTTCAGGATAAATTTGGTCTATTTTTTTTTTTTTCCTGGACATTTTTATAGATTGTCTGTATAACTCAACAGTTTGTAGCTATTGTACATACACATAAAGGAAAGCCCTAAAGAACTAACACTACATCATGGTCATCGCTTACATTATGTACAACACAGTTATAAAGTCAGAAAGATCCAGTGTGAATCAAAAAGAAATCCCATATTTGGTTGGCTTATAAATATAATTCTATTAGATCTGATATTACCTATTGCTACAATAGAGTGGAATTCTATTTTACATAGCAACTTCCTGCTCAAGTTATTTTTGAAAATAATATGTTAATACTTGTAGTGCAGTGAAAGTGATTTTACAATGTGTAAAAGAAAATTTTATTCGTGGATAGTATACAGCTGATGCGGATTATATGACTGTCCAGAACGATAACAAAAATTGGACAATGAAAAATCTATTAAAAATACCCAACAAGCATGATAAATGGATTTAGAATATTGTCAGAAATAGCTTTTTCTTTACATCTGTTTTTATTGCTATGTTCTAGTTTCAAATGATACTCCCAAGGATCCAGATCTAATCCTTTGAAAGTCTTCCAGAGCCTAAACTAAAATTGTCTGTACCTTACACAAAACATAGTGCATGGACAATAAAATGAACACTCATTTGATAAAAACAGACAAAAAAAAAGGTAATATTTCATAGAATAAAATCGCTTTGGAAAAAGCACTTTTTTTTTTTTTTTTTAATCTTAAACTGTTGTTCACTGCCTCTATATTTGGATAATTATGACAACACTTCTTGTTTTATTCGTGGTGCTTTTTCCTTCTTTATGAAGATCTAGTATACTTTAGGACTATGCACAATAATGTGTCACATGACTCTTGCTTTGATATAAGCCTGGCTGACACCAGGTAAAAGCCCTCCACGGTCAAAAAGGCAGTCTCATTTTTGGCAAAGTCTTTCCCCCTACAGAGCTTTTTCTTCCTTCCTCTCAAACGCTGTAAACTGGGAGTACAAATTTATTTTAGAGTATCCTATCAACACAACTCAGACACAACTCAGCCAAGATAAGGATAGGAAATGAGTTAATGAGTTCTGGATTGTCTTGGGGATTATCCCTCAACATATCTATTATAGCTTCTGAGATAGCTTCTTTAGATATACTATTTTATTTCAATTTCCATACAGTCTATGATCTCAACTCATAGCATATAAGCATATACCTGAAATCTTTTGAAATGATTGTAGAAATAAGGGCAAACTAAGACATTTGCATGTCTGATTGAGCCCTTCATTGCTTAAACTAATTCTTCAAAAATGCAAATTGTGTTTTTCAGTGGACAACCACTTTTAAAACTCATAGCTTCTAGCTGATGAAAGTAAATAAAGCTTATAGCTAATGTAATAAATAAATTTTATGTAATTTATATGTACAAAAATGAGTAAGAATTGTGAGTTATTACTCATTATAAAGTATATCAAAACATCAACCACCGATTCTGTTTTAAATCTTAAACATGAACAAAATATAATCTCTGACTGTGATAATTACGCACTTCAGTTACAGCTTCATTTTTTTCTTCCTAAGAACATATGTTAATGTGATGATTATTTAACATTAGTCTGAATGGCTTCCAATGCTGCCTATAACTTTCACAAAACTATAGCAAAGTAAAAAAAAAAAACCAAACCAAACAAAAAACAACAACAAAACAAGCAAAAAAAAAAACCCCAAACAAATTATTTAGAAAAAATGTTTTGCCTATCTGTCTCCACCATTATATAGGTGTTATCATTTTTGTAGGAATAATCCTGTATTATATTCCAAAAGAAAATCATAAAACAACAATCTATGGAATCCATCATATGCTGAGATGGATGGTGCCTCTAAGACAGGAGCCAATGTGTCCTTTGTTTTTACAGTTGTTCTTTAGACTGAAAGCTAGAAATCAGGATTGCTCCAAACATGTCTAAGCTAGGATAACATTTCGGAGTGCAACATTGCCAAGTGTAGAACAAACTAGGTGCTGGTAGAAGAGTATGTACACAGATAGTGAAAGCTATAAAGGAATTACTTAAGTAACAGGGAAAGCTTTACTTAACTGCTCAGTAACCAAAGTCAACCAAGCCAGTGTAGAGAGAGGCTATAGGATTCAAAAATCCAGACAAAGCAAAATCACTCAAATAGGAGTGTCATGGTTATTCCAAAGGTCCCTTTTCTGTGTCCAAAGAACACTTTAAAGAAAGAAAATAGATTTTCTATATCTACTGCTTTCTATTATTCACGTTATACCTTTTTTGTTTAACTTTTAAAAAATATGTTTTTCTTTTCCTTTCAGAATTTTCTTTTAGAATCTTTTAAAATCCTGAGCAGAGTCTGGCTCTAAGCTACCCTGGAGCCTATACTGTAAAACTGGTTCACCTATGAAAATATTTAACTGTGGAAGAAAGTGGATAAAGGAAAATGAAGTTCCAGTGGTGTACCTGGGGGATTAGGACAGCTATCCAATGTGACTGCATTCACCTGGAAAACCATGGGGAACTTTTAAGTATGAAATGAGGAAAACCTTCAAACAGACACTTCCCTTACGCAACAACTTCATAAGTAGACAACTAAGGAAGGTATTATGAAAGCCATAACTTAAGGAACTTTAGACATCCTAACTGAATTAGACTGAATTAGATAAGGTTTGAATGTAGTTCACAATGAAAGATTTATAGTCAAGGTATTCTTAAAAAAAAAAACCCACCAAATCACTTACCTGGCCAGAAAATGTATTTTCACATACAAATGTTTCATAGTATTTAGGGAATTCCGGTTCATGGTCATTGACATTGAGAACATGGATATACACATTTACTTCTGATTTTTTTTCTGGATTTCCTAATGGCAAAACAAAATTAAAAATCTGAAGTTTTAAGCAATCTACAACTTATTTTACAGAAATGTAGAAATTACAAACCTCTACTTAAATTTTACACTGAAGAAAGTAGTCACCAAGACTTAAAGATACATCTTATATTTTTTAATACTACTGTTCAAGTATATCTCATATTGTGATTTGTAATTATGTTTCTGATTGAGTTTTTTATCCAATATCAATTGCCTTATTTGAATTCCCAGCATGAATCAAATTGTTTTCTTGATTAGCTACATTGTATTTACAGAAAGCTTTTTGCTTCTTCCTTTTTTTCCCCCTTCTTCCCCTAACTCATCAAGTTAAATTACAATAGTGTATGTAAAAATATATAAGCATGTATTTTTCAGTCATTCATTTATTAGGTTGGAAATTGATTTAATGTAAAAAAATGAAATCTATTCTGTACAAAGTTGATAAATTTTGTTTGTATGGAATACCTCTAGCTCGTGGATAGGACAATGATAATTCACATTGCTTTAGAAAATTTTGTTACTCTTCCACTTCTCCTTTATTATTTTGAAATATTGACATCTTTAGAGCAAATTTACACAAAATATACATACTTTCAAAACACTTCTGCCACTGCTAGCCATGGAGTAATTGTAGTGGATATTCACACTTACTTTCAGTTGACAGAAGGCTGGGACTGCTCTAAAGAACATAGATTGAATGGAATAAGAGAGTTGTTCTATCCACTGCTTTCCAAACACTTATTTGTAAAGAAATTGTAAAGGAATCTGGTTTTACTCAGACAAACTTAAAGTATTACTACTGACACAAGAGACTGAACTTACTTATAGCTTTGTTCCAAGTCTTATTTGCCCAACAGATTTAATTCTTAGGCATTATGTGTTTGTGAAAGCTGTACTGCTTCCGCTCCTTGAGTACACTCTATTGCTGAGTCTTTAAATATAAAACCTATATCCATATGGATTATTTCTATTTGAAAAGAAAAACAAACTGTGCCAGTATGAGGCACTTTTATTCCTGTACTTACTACATTTACACAAGCTTTGCATCTATATCTGTCTCTGATAAAGACAATTCAGATCTAACATGATACTAAACTTGTGTATAGATGAGGCCTAAATAGCTTATGTAATAAATACGTTCATAAATGTGTCGTCTGAAACCAATAAAAGGATCATTTGAAGGTACTGAATACCTCTTTGAAGTCTTTTGCCTATCAGTAAGGGTTTGACCTGCTCACTAGGATTTGACCCACTTAGATGGCATAGCTCTGAAAAATGTCTGCTTTTTCCACTTAGCAGTTAGCAATTTAACGTGTTATTCTAGTACCTGAGAACTTTCACTGCTACAGTACTGTTGACTTTAGCATGATTTTTTGTTGGGCTGTTTATTTAATTGAGTAAAGTTATCTTAAGAAATATGAGTTCTGTCTAACTACAAACAGGTCATTCACAAGAATATTCATATTGCTAAAATAAGCTGCATGATGTGACTAGTGTCAGTGCCTCTGTTCTTAAGTCCTTAAGGTTGTTTCTTAAGTTGGTCAAGTAGACCCTTAGGGAAAAACTTTCTCCCTTTTGCTTTCCCTTTAACAGTAGGGGTTTGGTTGATTCTTATATTTCTTTTATATATATATATATGTATGTGTATATATATATATATGTATATATGTATGTATATGTGTATATATATATATTTAACTGGTTCCTTGGAGCAAACATTTGTTTTTTTTTTGTTCTTATTGAATCTGTGCTGATAGCTTTGAGTCTTTTGCCAAAGGAAGTAGCAGAAAAAACAACTACCACAGAGATAAAGGACTAGATATACTACCGTTTCACGTTGCCATTCCTCCCATGAAATCATCAGAATTTCCTGAAGCTAATGATATGTCTGTGTCTTCTTAAAAATATTTTTTGTGACATGGCATTTCTCCCGTTGAAGACCTACATACTTATGAGAGGCAATGATACAGTTCTTGGTTTATTGTTTAAGTAAATGTAAATATATATATATATATATATCCTTTTTAAGAATATTACTTAGAAATTTAGGGCTAGCGTGTTCAGAACAACTTCTGTTCCATAAGCTTCACAGAAAATGTCTTGGTTTTAATGCCTACCCTCGAATGTCTGCAGGAGCAATCAGACAGTATTCTCCAGACTAGAACTTCCTAGAACACATGTAGGTTTTTTTTTTACCAAGCTGTTTTTCCTTTTATTTGATTTTTGGTAATGAACTTGTTGCTGTTTCCTTATGTATTTGAGGTTTTGTTTTATTTTTTGGTTGTTTGTTTGTTTTATTTTTGTTTCATCAGTGTATGCTTACGTAACGGGATAAATTTTTCATGTTGCCATTTGAGGATAACAATTTGACAATTTTAAATCTTCTGAAATCTTAGGAGTTTGTCCTGGGAAGGAGTAACACCCCTGCAATAGGTCCCCAGTAAATATTTAACTAAGGTGTCAGGTGAAAGAGACTCCTCCAATCCCTCATACAATTCGTAAATAAAGTAGGTAGCAATTGCTTTGACTTACATAGGAAAACAGCTGTCAGGATCTAAATATCTATAAATAAAACTAAATACAGCTATCATACTCAGGCCCCGAAGCTAAAGATCTTTCCATGAGAAGAGAATCTCCATGACAGAAATGAAAGCATGAAACACAAGATCTAAGAAAGCAGTTTGTCATCTGCAACAGGCTGTGCCAATGTAGATAATAAGTTGATGCTTAAATACCAGAAACCAAATTGAGTAACTCACTCAGGGGATACAGGGAGCTGTGTGTAAAAAAAGCTCTAGGAACAAAATCGAATTCAAAATTTGCAGGGGACTGAAGAAAGTTTGGGATTGGAATAATAAGGACAACTATTAAAAAATAAAAAGTTCAGTTTAGATTAAGGCAAGTTTATAATTTTCTTCACGGCTCAGAATAAAGAAAGGCAGAATTTGGTGATAAAATTAGACAACATAGGAGTGCTCTAAGATGTTAGAAGTCTGTCAATAACAACAAAAGTGATAAATAGGCATTAATGATATAAACCATGCCTGATATCTCCAGAAAGTCATGAATACTGTAATCATATATTGGTTCTGAAACCCACTACAAAAAGATTTCTATACAAAACTCTATGGGATTCTGTTGACTCTTGTGGGTAGGTCTTGTGTTTAAGATGATTAGTGCTCTAACAGACAGATGAGAATCAGAGGAAGGGTAAGTCAGTTAGTCTTTTCCATTGCATTTTTTTTTTTTTCTGATGACCATGTATAGCTCAATTGAGAGAAAGCGGAGGCAATTATTCCCCTTCTAGATTAACAAACTGTTATTCAAATATCATTGTCAAGTAAAATTGATGATTGAAGTGTTTCCTGCCTTAATGTGCTGTTAGAGTGCTGCTGTTTTTGCTTGAATCTTGTACTGTTTGAAAGTTAATTAAAACGGAGTAAAAATCAAACATGTAAGAAAATTGTTTTCTCCTGACCAAGAACACTCCAAGTCATAAAGCAGATAGCAAAGCAGTGCAAAGACTGAACAGATAGTAGGATTCCAGCACTTCAATCTTGTGTCAATTGGATTAGATCTATTTTAGGGTAATTTTGAGACATGCTATTGAGATATGATCCACAAGAAGTTTGCAACAGCAAAGGCAAACTTCTCACTCTAACCTCTGATCCCTATCATAAGAATGGAGTCAAAATGCTTAGGCCCTATACAAGTGCCAAGATATCAGTAAGCCCGTAGTGCAGTTGCTGTTCTAAAGCAGTTTCAAGACTCGTCTCATCTACACAGAATATCTAGTGTGGATGAAGTCTAGCGGTCTTTTGGTTTGATTTCAGTATATCCACAATGTTATCGCCAAGATGTCTTATATGCACATTAGGATTATATTTCAAGGAATAAAATGCTACGAATTGATAATATAAATCATTTCAGATATGGTCAGACCAAGGTGACCTAACTTCAATTCTTTTAAATATAATTTTATAGACAGTGACCTTGCCATTGTTGAAGAAATAAAGAATAAGAATACGAAGAGAATGAGGGCCCAGTCTCTTAAGAGTAACTTTCATTACCGCAGAAGACCTGCTTCCTTCTACTGCAGGAGACGCTTATTCATTTGTAACATTTGGTCTTTTCTTTTTTTATTGTTTAGCTAAACAGAAAAGTCCAGACCAAAGTCATCCTGCTGTGTTTCCATAGAGCTATTCAAGGTAGGACAAAAATGTGACAGAGTTCTATTTTACCATCACCTGTCAACTGCCCAGCAACATGAGAAGATAGATACATTTTTGTTTAAAAACTCGTAGAGAAGCTGAAAGCAATATCATAAATGCCCAAGCACAAAATGGAGACTCCAGTGATTTTTACTAATGCCTATTCTATGTTAAACTTCTAGACATGCTATTCTGACCTATATAGAATACTTCCTTTTAGCACAGTGCAACTGACAAATATATGTTTAAACTAGTCTTAACAAATAGCATCAAATTTAGATTCAGGATGCAAATAAGATAGTATAGATATTGGATAAAATTGATTTGATCTACTGATTGCCCTCAAGTTTTGTATATTCTTTTATCATTGCTAAAAATGGATGGGATTAGTTATTTTTAGTATCCCTAATAATCTTGGTAAACTGTATTATAAATCGGTAACTACTAATTTCTTAGAGTATTGTGTCAAAGTCAGGGCAACCAGATAACCAAAAGTACAAACAGCAGTAATTTGCATTTGACTTCCAAACAAAACTGATAGGTGAAATCTATATAAAGGATGCTGTGTGGATTTAATTGTCACTGAAGAGAAGTCTAGCTGGTTTAGGCCTTACATTCACAATTAACTTGAGCCACAGGTTTCTGACTGGAGTTAAATTAGACCCTGGCTAATTTCACACTAGTCAAAAATCTAGTGTGAAATTAACCAGGATCTAATTTAGTAGAAGATCTTGTACTGCAGGAGCAATTCGCATGCTTTAGTGTAACTTGAAAGCATTACGGTCTCGATCCTATTACAATATCTTTTCCTTTTTTCATAAGGTCTTCTTTTATGAAAAAGCACAGGACCTTGGAGCTCAAATACATTCTGTTCCTATATTACTAATCATTTTAATAACACTCCTCAACGTAACAAGCAACAGTAATATAATGAGAAAGAAGCATGTATTCTCCATTTAAAAGAAAGTATATTCAGGTGATAATTACAGTATGCAGGATATAAAACACAGTGTTCTTTAAGTTTCTCACTTGTTTCTGTGGCTGAAACAGTTATGTTGTACCAAGCAGCTATCTCTCGGTCCAGAGGTTTAGTTGTAATGATTGTTCCATTGTGTTCATTGATGCTGAACAATCTCTTTAAATACATGTCATTGACAATAGAATACCTGCACAAAAAAGAAAAAAAAAAAAAAAGAAATTCCCTAATGCCGAAATATTCTGTCAGAAAAAAAGAATGTATAAATCTATTGTCAGTTGAGAAAACAGACCTGTGAATATATACATGTAAATGTGTGCTGCAACAACTCAGAAATCATGAAAGATGTACACTTATAAACATTTAAAATTCACTGCTGCTGAGATCAAAGTTCTTCTTTTTATAAAACTAAATATGCCTCAGATCTATATTAATGTGAACTGAATCTGAAATGCATTATTCATTCTTATTTCTAAGTCAGGCTCACAGCAGGTGAATGACTTCGTTGAAAAGAAACAGCAAAAGTGCCACTTGTGAAATGAATAACACTAACAGCTAAGCGGAGGTATAATGGTAAATCCATTTTGTCACTGCTGACATGCTCTGATGCTGAGGGAATGAGCATTAGAAAGACAGACAGACAACTATCTATAATGAGGTGTCACCAGGCCAGGGTACACAGTCCTAACATTAGAGATGACTGCAAATGAGCCCAGGGTTACAGAGTCTTAATTTAAAAGTCTCTGGATGCTATGTCTATATGTGGACACTCACATATCATACATAGATACATGCACACACCTCTTTTGATTTGTTAAAGTCTAACTCCTTGGAGTAACAAAAAAAAAAAAAAAAGACAATAAGATATAGTAACAAATGCTAAAGATATACACAAATATTTTTCATGATATATACGCAAGAATAGGTGTCACAGTTCCTTGTAGAATCTATTTTGTGGAAATAAAATCTGCTTGAATAGTTGAAAGATTCTTCCTCTTCCTCTTTGGAATTCCCACATATGATTATTCCCTCTTGTATACTATCTTTACGTTTTCTTGATAATATCCTTCCATCTCCTGTTGGCGCTCAGGACTATCTCAGATTATGTGCCAGCATTTGGATGGTTCTCTTTTACTTATTATTTATAGTTATCTTTTAGTCTCTTTGAAAAATAAGCAAGATACTAAATTAAAGAAACATCTTAACATAGTCAGAGATTGTTCTTTTCATTTGAACCAAAGGACTGACTTTTATAAAACCTCTGTTTTAGGGATTTACAGCTCAGTCTTAAATGCTTTCTCTTTATGTGAGTATTCCTCATCCTCCTCATTGAAAGCTTGTTTAGGGTTTCTGTCATTGTTTTCTTCGTTATTTTTATCTGGTTTTGATAGATAATTTTCAGATAATAAATGGATGCTGGATGTTTTTAATATATTTTTTTAATATTGATATAGTGTGGTTTTATTACATGTTTTCATTTCTTTCATTTACTTGCAAACAGTGATCCAAAATGCAACACGGATGTTGTTCCGTGTTATAAGCAACATCATTCACAATAATAATGATTTAGAAATTGGGTATATGTATTGGGTTAGAAATTGATGTATTGGGTGCATACTTTTTCCCCTAAACTTACCTTTTTGTTAAGAGTGCCTGGCTTTATTCTAAAGAAACCCAGTGCTGTAATATACACTTAAGAGGAATGAGACTATACTGACATACTTCACAAAAAAACTCATCAAAATATTTCAGATTCATAGATGTGCACTGTATTTACATGGTTTGCAGGAGATACTGAAGGATCTGAATAAAGACAAACCAAATCCAATCATTCTGAAAAAAAGTGCAGGTATATTTTTATTCTTATTTAATTTGACCTATGACTAGCTTACCAAATAACAGTAAATTGGTATGAAAACAAAGTAAATGCCTATTGGCTATACTTCTGAAGTCTGAAACATAAATAACAAAATGATTTTTTTAAATATTAGGAATCTGTTAAATTAATCCGCAGACCATAAGTTTATTTGCATTCCCCCATTTTTGTCTCTGTGTCCTGGGTTGTTTTAATCACACAGTACACAGTAACATCAAGTAGCCCTTCCTTCCTTAAGATACATATAAAAAATACTTTATAAAATCAAAAGTCTGTGGGATCTTTTATTTATTTACTTATTTATTTATAAAAAAAATAGTATTTCTATGGGGCAGTTGTGGTAGCTGTGGGAAAATGGTGAATTTTGGTGAATTTTGGTCATATGAATAGGGTAGATTCACATTGACATGTTCTGTTTTTCTCTTCTACCAATGACTCATCTCTTCTTTTCTCTAGAAGTAATTGGTAACAGATTGGAATACCTCAAGGCACTTATAATTTCAACTATGACACCCCAGTTGTGCTCCTATACAATAATGTCCCCCAGTCTACTCTTTTAAACATTGTCTCATCTCAAAGGAATTGTAAAGCGTACTTAATTGTAATCACGAATCAAAGAAAGGAATCCTTGAAGTTAATGTCACAAAAATAGTTCCTGGTGCCTTTGGATATCCTGTATATATTTATGTATGAAGCCTATTGATGTTTTAAGATAGATACCTGATTGGGCTGTCATCACTGTCTGGATCTCTAGCAGTTATTACGCCTACCAATGAGCCACTCACAGCCCCTTCAGCAATCTCCATCACATAGTTCTCCAAGGAGAAAACAGGAGGTTCATCAGCATCTTGCACATTGATTTTAATAATGGTCGTGTCTTCAAATGGTCCTTCTTCCAGAAATCGTTCATCAATATACCTGTTGACAACTTTTGCTTGAACACTGTATCTCCTCTTGGTCTCATAATCCACCCTCTGTTAAGAAACAAAAGAGAACTTGGAATATTTATTTTTCTTCAGATTTGAAAATAAATAGTAAACCAATACTTGGTGTGAGATTAAAGACAAAGTAGTGCTATCTTCTTTTTGAATGTTTCATATGCATTTTATTCTGAGATTTCTTTTTTTAACTCTAGCACTCCAACAATTAATCTGCGGCATACCTTAGTTGTCTTTCACTGCTAGGTGTTGACTTCATTGGCATGGAGGCTTACTTTACTGTTAAAAAACACTGTGATGAAAGTCTTCCCTTAGAGTGTCAGCCCTAAGCAAAACAACTTCCTTTCTTGGCACCTCTATTTCCATTGTAAGTAGAACTTTAATGAATGTTATCCTTGACTTTTGCATAAACAAAGGGAATCAGTTATTCTGCAAGAGTTAAACTGAATTTGTTAAAATTAAGTCTCTAAAAGAAATAAATTCCAGGAGGTAATAAAGAGTTTAATAAACACACATATTACTATTTTGACAGTTATTATCTGTTCTAATTAAAACATGAAATATTAAAGAAGTACCTTCCTGTATTGTAATAAATCCAAATAGGAAAAAAAAAAAAAAAAAAAAAAAAAAAAACTAACATTCAGTTCTGCAAGATCCTGTATTTCACTGGTGACTGTTCAAGTCTATCATCATTTCAGACCCAGAATATGTCTTCTTCCTTTGCAATACCAAGTTAAATCTCACAGTAAACAAAAGTCTCTTAAATATCTTAATTCATAAATCTGGTATATTTTGAGTATTTCTAGAATATTTCAAAAGCTACATGTCATGATAATAATTCCATTCAATCCGTTGTCTATCTCAGTATCTTAGTATGTTTTGCCTTCAGTTAACTTTAACAAGAAGTATTGAAAGAAAAGAAATAGTGATATCCTTTTACTGATAAAGGCTTTACAGATTTTACAGGAGTGAACATTTACTCATAATAGGATATATTAGTTTTCATATCTAGGAATAAAATTACTATACTTCATCTAATGGTTCTGTATTTAGCCAGTAACAGGAATGAGGGAAAAAGAAAAAAGAAAAAGAAAAAAAAAGAAAGAAAACCATATTTATTTATTTTCCCCTAAAATTTCCTATCAAATCACAAAGTCTGTAAAATAAAATAAAAAAAAAATCCAAAGGAATAAGCTTTTTAAAAGCTCTTGCTCATTTGAGGAGGTTCTTTCTAGTATTTAAAAATGCTGAAGTAATTTCTGGTATCTCACCTTTTTTAATAAAATAATTCCTTCTTGAGTCTCATTATCAGTAATGATGTCAAAAACATCTGTGCTATCTCCTTCAATGAAATAGTTCATGGCTGCATTCTCCCCTACGTCGCTGTCTTCTGCCATGACTCTGCCTACGGTAGTGCCCACAGGAGCCTCTTCAGAGACGCTCATGTAGTAGAGTCCTAAAGAAACATACTGACACCATTCAGTGAATTGCCATTACAGCTAAGAGGTTATCAGAAGGCTGGGGAAAGGCACAAGTTTTTAACAAGATCCACTGATGCACTTTGGGAGTGGGGGAAGACAATCACTCCCTCCATGAGTCCTTCTCTCCCAGCCCCTCTTGATGAGAAGGGCCCAAGTGAATAAAACACAGCACTATCAGCAACCAGAGGAGGGCAGCAATTCCCAACTGCATTTTATTGGCTCCTACTGCCAGACCAACTGTCTCCTCTCGCATCAGCTGAAAACTCCCTGGACCAGGATTACAGAATCTTCTAGCAAAGACTGAAGATAGGAGAGAAATAAGGGGAGTGAAAGGAATATTAAGTGTTCCACTGCTCAAACTTTAGCAAGTGCAAGCTATGTGGAAAGCAGTTTAGTAACTCCACGGTCTCTGAATGAGAAAAACAAGAGCCCGAAGTCTTTGGACAGTAGTGGAGGTTTTTGCCCTATTTGGAGTTTGAGCTTTTCTTTTGAAACTTGTGCTGCTGAAGACAAATGCAGACAGACTTTAGTGAACTTACTTAATAGACCTACAGTTGATTTACATTTCCTCAAGAATTCAACAAATGTAAGCAACCTCTACTCACGCTGTTGAAATTTAGGTGCATTGTCATTGATGTCAGAGAGGTTAATGGTAACAGTGGCTGTTGCTGAAAAAGCTCCTGCTTGCCCAACCATGTCTTTGACTTGGATGATGACCAAGTGTTGATCCTTTGTTTCTCTATCCATTTGGGAAGCCATTCTGATAATCCCTAGAAAATCAAAAGTACGTTTTTATGGCCCTGACATAGTCACATTTTGCCCCCAAACCTGACCACATAATAAGAGTATAAAATATATCATCAGGCACAGTTATAAATTTGCACTCTAGGCAGTGCACAGTACGCACAGTTAAGTTATTGCTTCTCTAAACAGAGTGAGATAATAGCTCATTAAAAAAAAAAAAAAGAAATGTGAAAATTATGCAAAGACATACAAATGTAGGATGATAGGAGTTGACGTTTGTGTTGAATTGAAGAAAAAAATGCTTATTTTTGCTTATGTCCATGTTCTGATATTTTATGGATTTTATGGATTAATCTCATGTTGCAAGAGTATGCTACAGTACCTGTCTTTGGCTCCACAGAGAAATAAGGCTGTCCTTGAATGAGACTGTAAAGCAGACGTGCACTATTCCCGTAAGAAGGATCATCACCATCTGTAGCTGTTACCTGTGTAACAGATGTACCTAAGAGGAAAAAAAAACACATGTTTTTTTGAACCATGGTCCATACATCTTTTTCAATTTTTTTGCTATTATCTCTTTTCAGCCTCTTTATTTTGTATAAGTTACTTTTTAATTACACAACATGATCATTTCAAGATCCTTTTAAGACATCTTTTCAGACACCATTTATATTCCTAAATCATCCTGAAAATTTAAATGTAATGACACCTTCTCAAATTCATCATTAAAAAGGGAACTCCTTCAGCAGTTCTTTTGGCTCCATTTAAACTTTCAATCAAAATAAAAAGAAATAGCATATGATTTTTCAATGTTATCTTTATTTATATTGCTTAAAATACTAAATACCTTACTCCTTTTATCCTAATTTATAAGTGAATGGAACATAGCAAGATATTTCCTCTCCCCATGTAAATTCTTCAAAGAATCTTCCAAAAGATTTCAATAGGAATAAGAAAACAAAAGCACCTTATTAACACTATGAGAACTGCATGACTGAAAAAAATAAGCTGTTAACAGGCAAAGCAGCAAAGAAATATAATAAGGCTCTGATAACATTTTATATCCTTGAGTCTTTAATAAGCCTTTCCTAGTGCAAAAAACACAGCAGAATCAATCTGCAGAACATGATTTCAACTCAGGCTGGTAGTCAGTTATATCCTAGATCCAAGATTAGTGACAATCTCATAGAATATCAGATTATCAGTCATGATAATCTTTCTAAGGGAAATACTCATTGTGGCATCATTTTATAATGTAATCATTATTTTTGTCCATTTTTCTCACCTATGTTCTGCATAAATACACAAACAGCACTTCTCGTGAGGAAGACAGGAACTCAAGCTACTTTTTAAAACTTTCTGGCATATGTTCACATGGCTGCACCTGAATATCAATCTAGCTGTATAGCTAAACTGAAAGAGAAAAGAAGATATGATGAGGTGAAAGACATATGGCCAGAAACACCTTTTCTGAAGCAAAATGGAAGCTTATACTTGTCTGTGGTAAAACAAATGTATTCATTTCTGATCTTTCTAATAGATAGTTTTATTTGTTAATAGATCTGAAGAAGGCTTTCTAGTGTGAAGTAGACTGAATTTGGTGAAGAACATTTTTTTTTTAGAAGTATTATTTTTTTCTATTAGATCTTAGCCTACATGTTTCTTTATGGATTTACTCTACAGAACTCAAGTGATTCCATAATGTGTGCTATCTTCCTTCAGAGTAAGGTATTTTTCATTGCTACTAAGTTTAAAAGTGAGATATCGTTCAAGAAATTCCTACAATACCATTTTTTTGTTATATATATTATGCACAGACTCACAGCCACACACCCCTATGCCAGAAATACTATTTTTATATCTGTGTGTGTGTGTGTTTGGATGGTATGTATATATCGCTCCCTATTGTTTTAGACAGACTAATCAGGGAATATATATTCTTCATAAGCAACAATATATCCTTAATAAAATGGAAGGGTAAAAAAAATAGAAACACTTGGCTAGTCAACTGTTAACTCTGTACCAGGTGTGGTCAGTGGCAACTGTTTTATTTTCATCCTCTAAAATAATTCATCATGAGGAGAACATAGTTATTTTGAGGAAGAAAAAAAAAAGGAAGGAACCCAACACTGTGAATAATCTAACATACAGTCCACTGTAGATACATTCTTTTGGATACAGAAATCCAAATACAAAAAAATGAAGCTCAGAAATGGACTGTTTATGACACCGTATTTGACAAATGAGGAATGAGATCAAATAAAATGATATTTGTTGCTTCTCAAAGCTCCAGTCTACTTTTTTTCCTTTTTCATTCAGTCAGAGTGGGAGTGTGGTGTTTGTATGAGTGGGCTTAGTGAAATGCAGCAGGAAAATGGAAAGATAAGCAAACAAGCAGTCTCTAATAAGGAAAGAACAAATATGGAGGATAGAAAGAATGCCGGTTGTCAGCATTCTCAACAGAAAGATTTTATTTTGAATTTGGGGTGACAGGAGACCACATAAAGGCAGGACTGTGCTTTCATAAATTCCTTGAGGACAGAGATTTCAGATCTTGATAAAAAGTTCTAAATTAAATATGAATTGAGCAGTAGCCAGAAAAAAATGTTATCCCAAGATTCGATTCTTTTTTTCAATTTTTAATTTCACGTTGCCTGAAATCTATTTTTCTATATATGTTTAATCTACACTAAAAAAAACCAAACCATTTCCTAAATGGAACCATGCTTACTTAGATGTTTGTTCTGAATGATAAAAATTACATGTTATTATGTTCTCAAAAACCCTGAAAACATGCTAAACCATTTTTGTCACTCCATGTTTGGGAGGAAAATATTTGAGCAGATTCATAAAAACGTATTTTAAAACAATCATTTTTTTAAAATAAGCACCTCCTGACATTCCAGATACAAAATGCAATAATTGGCAACCTAACTATGATAGCATGTTGCATCATTTAGGTGAAAATGGATATGTAGCCAAAGGGGCAAAACCACTGAATATGCCTGAGGACTTTAAAATATCTATATTTGAATAAGGTAGTCTGTGTGACATTGATATGAAGTTTATTCCTAAGTACACGTCTACAGTGCACAGAAATGTCTTAAGATAGATAGTAAGTATGTTTATACTTTATTTACTTTCTATTATGATCTATTTGGAAAAAAACTACTTTTATGTTGATTGATGCATAAGATTTTTATTTGTATCACTGGAGCTTTGGTTTTGTCCCTCTTGAGCAAAACATAACAGAGCAATTTATATCTTGCAGCCCATTAAGTAAACTATAGGGCACTCATGTAGGGTATAGTTATTCATTTTGCTAACTAGAGCCTGAAATCTATAAAAATATTAAGTACTGATATATTATTACATTTGACTGTTAACCATTCCATCAGATATACTACATTTGTGCAAGTTTAACATTTATATGGGAAGCACTTAATGTAAAATCATACCAAATGCCTGAGGGAAAACCAGTGTTGTACTCCCAGAAGAGTCCATTTGCTGATACACTTTTCATTTACTGTGACACTCAAATATAAAATCCTAATAAAATTTAATACTGAAGATAAAAGAGAGTCAAGAAAGAACTAAAATGCATTCTAATTTGTTGTCACATCAGTATAGATATTGATGTTTGTACGTAACTTCAGGCATTTTTTTTTCCTAGGGTAAGGTTAGCCTGGTTCTCTGAGGCAAGACATTCCTGTCTGTGAATTATTCTCTCCTTGGTTTCTTCTTCTTCATTCAGACATAATGTTTACTAACAGCGAACTGCTTTCTCAAGTGTGGACTGTGCTTATTGAGCATAATCTCTCTAAGAAAATTGCCAGGAGATCCTAGGTCTAGCATCATTGAGCTGGACTTTTGCTGGAGAGCTTGAAAATGGAGCAAAGGACAAAAAACAAGCCTCTCATGATACTAACTCTGGTCTAACTAAGCTGAAAAAAAATCTAGTTTGAGGGACAGAAGCACTGAGAAACACTGGAAGAGTACCACAGAATCACACAATGGGTGAGCTTGGAAGGGACCTCTAGAGATCATCTAGTCCAACCCCCCTGCTCCAGCAGGGACACCTAGGGCACGTGACACAGGGTGGCATCCAGGTGGGTTTTGAAGATCTCCAGAGAAGGAGACTCCACAACCTCTCTGGGCAGCCTGTTCCAGTGCTCTGTCAGGAAAGTTCTCACAGGAAAGTTCTTCCTCATATAGAGATTAACCTTCCTGTTTCAATTTCAAACCATACATACACACCAATATACCATTAGTATACCATTAGTATATATGAGTGCACATGGGAATATATACTGATGTAATTAATGTTAGAGATCAAACATAGAAATGGTATAGAAAAGAGTTGTTAGAGATGTAGGAACCTAGCTGACCTAGATGTAGGGTACGGGCTCGACGCGCCGAGGCAATTGAAGCCGAAAGGCAGCACCTAGAGTCACTTATCGTACACTGGATAATGACAAATCCATTAATTTACTATTTCAAGCAGTGTTACTTCTGTTTTTATTATTATTATTATTTTTAAATATATTTTCTGGAGACTGTTTTGTTATCTTATAGGAATATCACAAAATAAAATAAATCTTCTGCAGTTTAGTTATTTTATGCAACAGACGAGCAACAGAGGTATATGAAAAAAGATTGCTACTGCTTCATTTGGCCATAAGTATCACTCTTACTAGGAACTTCAGCCAAGAAAACAAGATCTATTTTGTTTTATTTGCTTTTGGGGGCGGGTTGGTGGGGAGGGGAGGGGTTCTTTGTTTTGGTTTGGTTTCCTTTAACATTCAATTATCCACTCATATATGACAAAAGCTCTCTAGGAAGCTAAATTAGGAAGGACAGTAGGAAGGATTTCAGAAATGAAACATTGATATGTCTCTTAGAACAGTTGAAGGTTTGGGTGAGTGTAAATAAAGTCAGATGCAATTACAGGCTATCTTAAAACCATTTTTAAGAGACTGTCTCATAACAATAACAATACTGCCAGAGAAAAGAAAAAAATAAAAGAAAAGCATTGTCAAAATCTTAAATCTGTTTAACCCTAGATAAATTTCCCCAGATGATTCTATGCAACAAATTAGCCCTTTTATTATAATGGTCTCATCAGAAAAACACAATCGTACTGTGGTTCTAATCTCCTAACCTGGGTGGACGGTCTAGTTACATGGGACAGAAGTACCTGGGACAGAAGCAAATTGTGTTAAAAATTAGGTGACCAAAAGTAGGGTTATTAAAAATTTGTGTTCCTTCTTATAAGTTCAAAATCCTGAGACAAATAACTCTGTGTGGGTGAAAGTAGCAGTGAATGAACAATCAAGAGTGATTTCCCTAATAGAAGCTGGACAGAAGCTTGGTGACTATAAGATGAGTTGATTTAACAGATGTTTTCTGTGGCAGTTGCTGGTATGATGGTGAGGTACTTGTTCCCTGTAGGAATTGGGATATTAATGTTCCCCCTGATTAAACACAAGGAATGAATATACTTGTCTTGTAACTGCTATCTAGGCTGTCAGAGGATGATATAATTCACAGCTCCCTATGAAAGATTCAATGTATCTGCCCTAAAAGTTGAGCAGGTAATGCCGAATGATGTATAGTTTTTATTACCTTTTATGATCACTGATGCTGTTGCACTAATGAGCTCATTAATTCAAATAGTTTTAAGTAGCACAGCATTTGAATTTCTTTTCAATATTATTTTTCACAAGAAATAACCAAAAGAGGAAAAAAAAAAAAAGGTAGGAAATGAAAAGAAAAAAAAGATCAGTTGGATTCTTTCAGCAAGTCTTAAAGAATCCATTTTTCCTTTAATTTTGAGAAGAATTATTTTGAGATGTTAGTATCTGTAATGTGCTCATTTATGATAACTGCTTTCACATTTATTTAAAAAAAAAAGATTTATGTGTGTGTGTGTATGCATACATGTTTGACTGCCATTATCCTGTTTCATATTTGTTGTATGAACTTTCCAAATACATGGCAGATTTAAGCCTATGTCTCTTTGACTGTGCAGTTTTGGAGTAGAAAGGATACATATTAAGTTGTTCCTCTTCACAATAAAATTTCAGTTCCTGTACTTAGGAAATCTGAAGACATTCCTTCACTGTGCACCATCTAGCCCAAACAAAGGGAAGATGATTTGTACTGACAGAGGTCTGGAAGTCTACACAGGTAGGCATTACCCATGATGTCCATTACATTAGCCCCATATCAGTTTCATACCTTTCTTGTTCTGAACCTCTTAGGTACAGAAGAGAAACTCTCCTCATTCTTGGGGGATGAGTGAATGAGTGCCTGTGGTATGTATGTGATTCTTTTCCAGTTACAGTACTTGGTCCAGTACAGTGATTTATACTAAACAGGTTATAACAAAGGCTTATTGCTTAATTATTAAGCAGTCAGAATAGACTAAAGGAGACTGTTGAGTACTTTCCAGTTCAGTTGAACTTATATATACTTAAAAGAGCTAACCAAGGTTAGAGGCCTTCAAAGTACATGCTGCTTTTCTTTTACATGGGTAGAAGCCTGGAGATTTGACAGGTTGTAAGAAAAATCATACAGTGATCTACAACAATTTTGTAGATTTTAGTCTGGTGTCCTTATTCAAAAATGAAATCTGTCAGCCTGAAATCTTCTTTGCACTGTCAACTGGCTACAGTATTTTTTCCATCTTAATGTGTAATGGCATGTTAAACATGTATAAATATCAAGGTTGCATCACTGGTGGAAAAGAAAGTTCGCTATAGTCAATGCATGAATGCAATCATGAATCTAGACCAGGATTCTGCTAAAGGACTTTACATCTAGCCACCTAAATATTTAAAGGTAAGTGTGTTAAATCCCAGTGGTCATATCCTTCAGTTTATTTCAGGCTTGTAAAATACTCTGACTTCCATCTGACTGAAAGGCAGTATATAAAAAATGCTATTAAGATTTTGTATGAACATTGCTATCCAGAAAAAAAAGGCAGGAAATAAAGTTTGATTCATAACACATCATACCTTCAGGGGACATCTCTGGAATGGTAGCTACATACGGTCCATCTAAGAACTGTGGTTCATGATCATTGATATCTCGAACCTTGATGATAAATTCTGATTCAGGTTCAACAGGAAGATGAGTGTTTCTGTTAATAACTTGTGCTCTTAGAGTGTAGAAGGGTTTCTTTTCTCTATCCAGTTTCTGTTTCACATAAATTTTACCACTGTATTCATCAATGACGAAAATGCTTTCAGCTCCTTCCCCAGTCAAAATGTATTGTAGGCTTCTATCCTGCTTGTCTAAATCGGATTTCAGCTACACAAAACATAAACAAGTGAACACACAAAAATAAGAACAAAAAGTATTTTAGGCAGGATAAAAATTTTGAAATATTTATTTTAATATTTGTTTTCATTCTGTGATAAATTCAAAAGTAAATCTCAGAAACTAATGTTTAAAAGCATCTACTGTCACATTTCTAGCCAGATGTGGCACAGTTTTAAGTTATTGATGTAACTGACTTATAGATAACCTAAAAAGAAAACTACTTCAGCCACTTTGGAGTCAAACAAACAAACAGAAGTACATGCTTATTGCTATATCAACTCCAAAAGACTTCCACTGAAAACAATATTCTTTTTCTACTCAGCAGTACTAGGTCTAAATATCAGAGAAAGTAGTGTTCCATTTATACTGAAATATTAAAGAGATATAAAACCACTTTGCAGTAGAAGTCTCTATTATTTATTCTGAAAGAAATTGATAGACATTTTCAATTTCCTTCCAGGATGATCTTCATCCAGTGTAGTCTTGCCAAGATGAGTTTTACCATCACATTCTTCTGATGAATCTTAGCCCTGGAGACTATTGCAGTTCAGCTACAATGGCTCATGCTATCAAAATTGATTTGTTAGCGTTAACAGTATGTTATAGCATTTTTTATAGTAATAACTGAAATTCCTAACATGCCAAGCATGCATTGTTGCGTTTTGTGAGAACAAATTGTTGTTTCAGCATATTATTAATTCTCTATTTTCTACCTTATTTCTTTTAGATTTAGAAGCAAAAATGTCACTACACAAAATGTCTAATTGTTAAAAAAAATCTCTGTAATAAATACTGACTTCTCTTACTAAGCAGAATGTTTTAAAGTCAAACAATAGTTCTATCTGTTGCCTTCACTCTTTTGCTTTTTTCTTTACTAGTTCTCTAAGGCAAATGACATATAGTCAGACTTAAGTGCGGGTGGTTCTTGGCTATGATGGTAACCTTTCATCAGTCAATATACTATTTCTAACATGACTCATATTATCTGGCAGTCATGCAGGTGAATAAGAGAATATAATTTTGGTAAACATAAACCATCACAAAAATATTTGCTTATCATACAGTAGCCCCGACTCAAATATACTTTATATTCAAGAAGAATCTCAATGATTAGGTTTAGGTTTGCAAACCAAGGAGAAAGTTACCCAGGATAAGTAATTGCTGGAAATTAGAAATGAAACTAACATTCAGCTCTCTCATTCCAGAAAAGTATGTGCATGTGCACTTGCCATTCTAGAAGTCTGTCAGCCTTCATTTCACATTAATGACATTTTGGAACATAACTATTCATAACAGAGCATTTGTTAAAGACTGCCTGTGCTCCTAGGTGAACGTCATAGACTCTCAGTTGTTATAAAGAAAATATTCTTAATACCTACTAGTTCTGTCCTTTTCTGACCCTGCAGGTCAGTCTAAGATGCAAAGCGACATAAAGGAAAGAAGTAGCTGTAGACTGTTAACAGCACACTTCCCTGTTGATCTACTCTGTCTTGGAATGCTTTTGAAGTTTCAAAAAATCAATTTAGTTTTTCTTTGCAATAATAGCCATATCTTTTGGAGATTTTCAAAATGCATGGTCATCTATTCACTTCAGCTCTACAGTTTATTGACAATATGGTTAGGACACTGCTTGGAGGAATACAGTCTTGAGCTCTTGCTCTACCTGAATCATTTCATGGTTTCCAGGCCAAAATAGAGAGACTTTTCATTTGCTAATGAGAGATACAAATTTCAAGCCTATGTACTTGAGAAAACTTTCTAAATGACCAACTTAAAGTCAAATAATTTCCACCCAAGTGAATGTATTTAAAAGTGAGACAGGTCACTTGGGTGTCACAGGCTTCTGTGAGTGATCTGCCCCCACTCATTTTAACACTATCCAAATTTAATACCTGGTAAAAGGGCATTGTGGGTGTTTTTGAACTATAAACCTGGGTTTTCTCTTCACATCCACCAGGGTATGGGAGAGGTGAAATAGATCTGAATCTTTACCCTAATATGGAGTTGAGATGTGACCAAACAGTTCATCAATCCCTGGAAGCCTGGATGATTACCTAGGATAGGCTATTTAAATGTAGTCTGTGTGAACGATTCCACTTCTTATTTTATCTCTGCAAATTATTTTCATGGTTGTGGCCATGTGAAATTACAAGACTCTTAGCAATTACATTTATACATTTATACATTCTCTGCTTACCTATTTTATCAAGCTAGGTATATAGAGTAAATGATCTTCCATTGTAAATGAGACCAAAGAATTCATGTATTTAATACTTCTGTCATTATAGTGTTGGTGGACACATTCTTTCTTCTTAAACATGGTAATGGATAAGGATTCATAGCTCTATGTTACATGAAATTTGAAATTGTACCCTGAATCAAACTGTGAAGAGAAAATGTGACATGGAATACTGACAGTTAATAACAGAGACAGTTTATCTCTGAATTTTTGTTGATGCAGCTTCCTGCTGGGCCTTATTTACTAAAATGGTCTTCACTTTACCATAGACTGTCACAGACTTACTGAAAGCGGAGCCCATTCTACTCTGTAGACAGTCACAAGTAAATGTGTCTGATTTAAACAGTTATACTGCTATAAATTAACAATAATCCTCAATTAAAATTTCAGGTAGTTTACTTGTGGCAGTGTGAAAAACAGAAAGGCAAGATTACGAATATGGTCTAAAACTGTGAAAATAGTTGACATTTACGAAGTTTCTTTTGAAGGAAAATGTGTTTTTAAGCTCCAAGAAAAGTGATAATAATAAGAAAAAATATGTCTATACTTGTTCTTTCAGAAGTGAGACATCACGCTTCCAGAGCAGTTACTTCGAAGGGGCTGTGAAAAAGTAATTAATGAATTTTGAGCAGTTCACCCTTTGGGCCCAATTAAATTTTAGTGCTAGTTAATTAGCAGTTAAACTTATTTCAGTTCATTCATCTAGAAAGAAGTGCCTTAAAGAAAAAAACTAGATCTCAAGATTACAATTACTTTTAGTCTACAAAAATAAATTATAATAATAAATAATAATAAATAATAATAAACAGAGAAAGAGGAAAGAGAAGATAAAGTCTCATTAAAAAAAATTAACTTAAAGTACACTTTTAAAAGAGGGTGAAAAATAATTGCTCGTTGTGCTAAAGCTACGTTAATCTAATGAACCATGCAGATTCCTGCAGCTTCTCAGTGGTAAAAGGATTTAGTATTAATCTGCTTCATTAAAAATTAATGAGGGGTAAATTAGCTGCTACTTAGTATAATAGAAAATCATGCTAAATACTGTTTGTAAACTACACTGCACTAGATGTGGCAGTTTTGAGGCAGTGCCAAAAATAGCACAAGCAAATTGCCAGTTGTTGATGAATGAGTCTTCAACTTTCATTCAGAAGGTAGAAAGGAAATGTTAAGCTTGATCCCTACATGCACTGCGTATGATTTACTTTCAATACAGAAGGAGTTTGGTGCCTCCTTGACAGTTCAATTGGATGAATGTAGGCCCTTGACATTGCAGTGACCCCTAGCCCATCGCGATCTCTCATTCTCGATCAGGTTACAGGCAAGGGCAAATGTTGTGCTGGATGATTTCAGCCCCGGCCACAGCTCCTCCTACAACTTGTCTTGATGCTTTCTGATCACTGAAGATGCTTGATCTTCCAAAAGAAATGTGGTATACCACATTTGATCAAACCTTGTGTCTCCTTGCACCTTGGCATCATACCTGTCCGACATACAAAGGCATCTTCGTAATCTGCTCCTCAGTTACAAAAAGAGGTTCCCATATCCAGCCACGTTTCACTCTTCGAACTGCTGCGAAGGACTGATCTGTGCTTTTAATACTTTTCTTCTGCATGTCTGGAGTGCAAGGCCAAAGCTGAACCAGTGTCAACACAAGAGATGGCAATGCGTAATAATTCATGCTGAAATTTCCTTTCAATCAATTTTCATCTGTAGAAGAGGAAAAATAACAATAAACATCTTTAACAAAGTACCTCTTCTGTGCTCCCTGCTTCATGTATTGATTCTATGCTAATCTAAGGGTTAATTTGAAAGGTTAAAAGCTCTCACTCCTAAAAAGAAAAACCTGGAACAAAGTCTGTTTTTGATTAAAATAGAGATTCTGTTAGAGACTCAGTGATATGAAAGTCAAGTATTTGACTGTCTTTTATGAATATCCTGCACAAGGACTTTCTATGCAAAAAAGGAAAACCATCCTTCAATTAATTCATCTTTCAAATTAAGCTGGGTAATTGTATTGTGAAGCCTAGCAATAATTTGATAGGAATAATTATATGTTTCTGCTTAGACAGGGCTCATTTTAAGCCGCAGTCACAGAACTACCTGCAGGTTGAACAAGTAGCCTTAGTGGCCCTAATGACTGACAGCTGAAACAGAGGAGTGCAGATTTTTTTTTAACCTTTCTTTCCCTCTTTCCTAACTCGTTGAAATGCCTGCAAAAATGCTAGGAGCTAGTGTGCCATGAAGAAGAAGCCAAAGTGCGCACATCTGTCCTTCCTGATCAACACGAATTAAGTACTATTCTACAGTCTGCGACATTCTTGTCTGTAACTAAACAAAGGGCAAATATATACTAGCAGCTCTAGAGTCCAGTAGCCTGCTTAAGCGGCACAAAGGATTATTTCAGAAAAGCAAAGCTTTTCACAGACTATAAGCAAATGGTGTCCAGCGATTTTTGGTAAAACTAACAGAACTCTCATTTTAAATAAGGTGCAGTGTTTGGTTGAGCATGACCATGTTCTATGGGGTGGAGAATTCTGAAATTCCATACCACACACTTTAAAAAAAAAAATGTTACTTGAAGAATAACACTTCCAATGCAAGAGCAGAGTTTGATTATGAACTTGTTCTATACTAGCAGTTTCGTACAATGGATTGGGGAAAAAAAAAAAAATCTGTACTTATTTTAGGCCCAAAAAATCCATGAACCTTTTTACCCATCAAGAATAAAAGGTGAATTAATGCAACTTTTAAGACCATAACTTTTTTAATGTAACTTTTAAGAAATAGCATTGAAATACTAATGCTATAAAATATCTTTCCTTATGCAAAGAAAAACATATTTGCTTAAAATGATGATATGTCACACAGACATTTATTTTATTCCTTTCAGAACACATGCATTATTCTGTTAAAAATTGCTTTCAGATATTTGTTGAGAAAAGTGTCTGTTAGTAAGGCATAATGAATTATAAGTCTTAGGCTCCTGATTCCAATTTCTTAGATTTTCGATCCTTCAACTTTACAATCATAACACCCTAAGACAAATTTTAAATGGAAGGAAAGGGAATTAAGTACTTTATTGCTTCATTTTTATGCAGGAGATTGTTTATTTCCCTAAAACTACAATAATAATATTTGTGACATATAAGATGAGGCTCACAAAAGCTCAGCCTGAGTCTCAAATAAAGCCTAAGGGAGACTTAAAAGGCCTCAAGGTTTTGAACTGCCTCTTTGTACAAAGAGTGCATTTCACTCTAAGCACTAATTTGCACAGAATCTACTCTTGAAAATAAGTTTTCCTTTAGTTGCAGTATATAGCAAAAGGCAGACAACTCAAGAGAAAAGTAGCAGTTCAATAGTCAGAGACCTTTCAGAAGAATTGTAAAGAAAATTATTTCAATCACTATTTAAATGAGTAGACAGGTGTTCAGTCTGGACTATACCACATGCTGCTGGCTACTCATTATTTTGTTTTTCAAGCATTTGTTTTGACACTGCCCACTTAGTTCGACAAAGTATTCTTGTAGGCTATTATTTCATGCAGACTGGATTACAGAGAGTCATTAGAAAACTCATCTGACAGACTCTGTGTGCATACACATCAACTTAAGGGTATAGAATATGACTATACCAGTCAGCTGTTGCCCACCTTTTGACAATGTACTCAGCAGTTAGCCATGAATGATGGACAACTTAAAAATATAATTAGTTTTTAGTACAATTTGGTGTACCCCTTCCTAAATTGTATAAATAACCCCTTCCTAATTGTATTAATAATAATTAAATTGTATTAATTAATAATATATTTATTCAGCTATCACGTCTGTAATGTAAGGGGAAAGAAAAAGCTTTTTCAGATTTAGTAAAGTCACATATTTCATTATTTGTGTGAGATTTGCTTTTTTTTTCTTAAAACTGTATTTTTAATTTAAAATATTTAAAGGAAATTATTGTGAAAAACAATATTTTTGTATACCTATAAAAGGTATATTATGGAATTGATGGTTTTCTTTCTTTCTTTTCTTCACTACTATATCAGACATACTTAATTTACCTCCAATTTCCAGAAATTTCAAAGTATATTTCCTCCCAACATCTTCCTAACCACTTGTCATTAAAAATCTGCCTCCAGCTTCTGGTGAGCACATGTTGCCATTTTCTATAGACTCAGTTGTTCCCTTGTGAAACAATCACCTTCTTACTATTCTCCATATTCTAATTTACACTCAGAATTAACATCCTGCGATTAATATCTTGTTCGCTACTCCATTTCTTGTCTTTCCTTTTTTTTTTTTAAAAAAAAAGTGTTACTAACTTAAAAAGGGGGTGGGAGGAGGAGAAGTAATTTCCATGATTCTGTGCTGAGAGCACTGACTAGTGTTGTCTCATTATTCTGTTCTGTTCTTCTGTCTTTCCCCATCCATCAGTTGTCTCTTGTTTTATGTTTAATTTGTAAGCTCTTTGTAACTCAAATGACCTTGTAGTTCGTGTTATAATTGTAATATGGGACAGAAGAGAGGCTTAGTAAAAGCACAGAGCTTTTAGGTGATAGAGTAATGTGAACAAATAGATAAATCCTTAATAGAATAATCTCTCATTAAAAAAAAAGACAAATGTATTTTCAGAGATGAGCAAGTGAGTTATCGCTAATAATTTCCCAAGGGAATGAGAGAAATGTGGACCATTGTTCTGCGCCTGTCCTATTCTTCAGGAAGTACATTTAAGCTTTTTCTGTCTCTTGCATTGGATAGCATTAGTTTAGTAAAGACTAATACATACAAAAGAGTAATTAGAATATCAATTTTATTTGTAAAAATTAGGCTAAATCTTTCAAAGCAATATTTTCCCTTTACACCCAATAGAAATCATTAATTTCCTATAGACTAGGAATAAATTTATCTTCTTGGCCTAAAGTGGCAGTGTACGTTGTTAGGCGTATTCCAGAACTGTCTCCAAATCAAATGCTGCTACTGTTTGAAACAGGATACTAGTTTGCAGTGCCTTACTAGTTTGACGTAGCTTTGAATCCCATTTCTTATAATAGTAGCTAACTACAAGTTATGGCAATGTTATTACCTTATAAAATAATACCTATTACTGTCTATTATTGCAAGAATAACATGAAGAAAATAAATTAAAATAAATTTCCACTCTCTGGAAAATGTTGAAGTAATTTGCGTGTTGGGGAGGGGGATGACTAAGGGTGTACAAGACAGCAAACTTCTAAACATTATTTTATATATATATGTATATATATACACGTATATGTATGATTAAGAAGGGGATAAATCATGTTACGATTCTTTTGGGTGAAAAATAGAACAAAGTAGCTTCATTCTGTAATAAAGAAAATTAATTTGATTATAAGTAAGGTATGCTAATCAGAGGGATAGTGGAATATAGTACAAGAGAAAGGCACAGATACTTCTTCACTAGAGAGAATATTCTGTAAATATGAATTTCATCCTGTTTCACTGCTGAATTTTGAGAAAATTCACTTCTGAGAAAAATAGTGCACTCTGTCTTTGAAAGTGCTAAATAGAACTAAAAACGCTAGACTGAAATGCATTCTCTTAGTGAAATTTGGTGTTTTCATATTTCAATAATATCAAGGAAAAAGTAACACAATAAAAAATAGAACAATTAATGTGAGTCAATCAAATTCACTAAAGCCAGCTTCTGAAATACATATCTGATGTATAAATATAACATAATTTTATTTCAATTCTGATTTCTGTGTGTGGATCTTGGTGCAACTGTAATGAAATTTATCTCTCTTGTATATTATTATCTTTAATTTTTACTTATAAGGTTAAAGAGGAAAGAATATTTCTAACCAACACCTACAAATGACTGTATTTTAAAAAACTTTATAGAAACCTCATCATTTCAACTCTACATTAATTCTTAATATCTTGTCTTCTGTGTCACAGCTTGTGCCCTGCTTTTGTTTTACATAGTTGATTACTGATAACTATGACAGCAAAGTGGAACAGCAGAAGATTGATGCTGTAACAGAATATTTATCTGGACAGATAAAAAAATAGTACTAAAGTTCAGTAGTAAACAGTGCTGAATTTCACTGTTGGCATGCACAACAGAAATATAACAAGACTTTTTTGTTTTGATTAGTTTTTTGGTGAAAGAGTAGATTTTATAATATCCTTGCTCTAGCTCATATATCATTAGCTATAATGCCCTTTACCCTCATTTCTTTTCTTTGTCATTAATTTAGTTTTTAATAATGTTTTTGTTTTAACTATTATTTGTACAAGATCTGAATGTTTTAATTTAGTCTCTTTTGACTTTCTGGTTTAGACTCTATTTTTCTTTTGATAATTTCAGAATAGTGTGTCTAACAAGTGTGGTGAATTCAACTACACTGTGGCTGCCAGAATTATCATGTAAAATACAACATTTTCAGTCAGTTAATTAGAGCTATATCAGCAATAGCCTTTCTATGTACGCTGCATGAATCACTGACTAAAAGCTATTACTTGACCTTGAAAATTGCCTTCTTTAAAGAACAATTTGATGTGACATTTGATCATATCATATTGACTGGTAGTTACACATTAACAGAGTATGGTTGCACGTGTCTCTGCTCATCACCTAGCACTTCACTTATATGAAGAGCAATTATTTACATATTATGATGTGACATTAATTTCACTTCATTCTAACTGGTACATTATTTTCTTCATTTT